CCCTTGGTCCTGCTCTGTGCTCAGCGCACCAGTGGGACATCCTCACTTCCTGCTCCCCCGGCAGGCCGCGGGCGACAGTATTCCGCGTGACTACCTGCTGGGCCACTGAGGCCAGGCTGTGTTCCTCGTGCCATCGTTTCCACAGATTGTGGGTTAGACACAGACCACAAGTCACGTGGGGACAGAGCGGCCTGCTTTGCCTGGTGATGCACCGAGTAGCTGGGACTGCAGTTGAGTCTCTGCTCAGGCATGTGTTTGTCATCAGGTGGACACCTCCAGTGTGGGCTCCGTCCAGAGATGTTTCTTTCTCTTTCCAGGGAATACCCACGCTGGTGTGCAGACGGGACTGGAACTACGAACACCTCTTTGTGGACATCCAGAACAAGATCCCGCAGGTGATGGCGATCAGCCTTGTCAGTGCGCACTCATGTGTCTCAGAGTGTTCGGGCTGTGCCACCCTCCCTCTAGCCGTTTGTCGAGAACACCAAAGAGTTTCAGGGCCTCCTATGTTCCCCGAGCCCAGCACACCTTCCAAAGGGCAGGCTGGCACAAGTGTTCTCGTGGAGGATAAACACATGGGAACCTTGCGGTGGCAGCTATTTAGCGACGGTGTCATGGCTGTCACGCTGGTGCAGAACGTCCAGCACCTGTTCCTGCGTTTCTGGTTTGCCGGCATTGGACGTGTGTGGGGGGTGTTGAGGTGTGATGTGTCTGTGTGTCGGCGTGGTTGTCCTCACAGCTTGTTCATTTTTTAATTGAAGTGTAGTCAGTTACAGTGTGTCAATTTCTGCACAATGTCCAGTCGTGCATGTACGTACATGCATTCGTTTTCACCTTCTTTTTCATTAAAGGTCAGACAGGATATCGAATAAAGTTTCCTGTGCTATATAGAAGTTTATTTTTTATCTATTTTTGTATATAGTGGTTATGATTTGCAAAGCTCAAACTCCCAGATTTATCCCTTCCTGCCCCCTTTCCCCCTCACACCTTGTCCTGAGGATTCAGTGAGTTCACATCTATTTCTGTAAAACACCTGGACACTGTTGACCTTAGCAAGCACGCTGTGTTGACGGCTGTTGTTCCGAGAGCCAGACCCAACCCATGGCTTTGGCCGGCAGCAGGTGAGGGCTCTTATCAGGCAGTGGTGCGCGAGGGGCCCCAACCTTGGATCCCTGTCCTGCCTTCGACTTCCTAGGACCCCCTCCCCAACACCGTCCTCAGCAACATCCGAGGACAGCTGCAGTCCTACAGCGATGCCTGTGAGGCTCTGTCTGCCATAGAAGTCGCGCTGGGCTTCGTGAGCACGGCCGGCGGGGACCCCGACATGCACTTGAACGTGTATTTCCAAGACATGCTGCGGATGGGTGATCAGACCTCGCTGGTTTCCAAGGTGGGTCTCCTGCCTGGGAAGGAGACACTCCCCACTTCCTGCTGGGAATACCACCACCCAGGGAGCACCAATCTAGGCAGCCCCCCGAAAAGGAGGGGAGGCGAGGACACCCCTCCCCCAGCCAGTCGGCTGTGTAAACAAAACACACAGGCGGGAAGGGAGCAGTGTGCTCGGAATGTGAGGGTCTAGACAGCGGGGCCTCCAGCATGCGGAGGCCTCTGCCGGCCAGCTGCACACCCGGGCGGACCCCAGGTGCTGCGGGGACCGGGGCGGGGAGACGAGGCAGGAGTGAGTGGATGGGGCAGAGGGGGCCTTCCTGGTGAGGGAGACGGAATCCCTGCGGGGGTGCAGAAATGGCACCTCTTCAGGAATTCTGTTCCTCCTTCAGGCCTTAAACAGGTGCCAGCTGAAACACACCATCGCCCTCTGGCAGTTCCTCTCTGCCCACAAGTCTGAGCAACTGCTGCGACTGAGGAAGGTGGGTCCGTGCCGGGGAGCTGCCCGCCTGCCCCTGGGCCCCGGGGAGCCGCCCGCCCAGCCACCCCTCGCCAGACTCACCTGCGTCATTTGTTCTCAATTCTTTCCAGGAGCCATTCGGGGACCTCATCCCAAGGTACGGAGTCGCGCTCAGCCCCGAACATGCGAAGCTGCTCAGCACCTTCCTAAACCAGACTGGCCTGGATGCCTTCCTCCTGGAGCTTCACGAGATGATGGTCCTGAAGCTGAAGACCCCACAGGCGGCGGAGAGTTTCAGCCCTCAGTGGAGGTGCGGGCTGGGCCGGGCACACACCGGGCCTGCCGTCTCCCCGAGATCCCCACCCGCACAGAAGCCCTGCCCATCTTGCAGAGCTCGGTTTCCTGCTGTTTTATAAACCACAAAGGCACGGATTCCCGGGCGGGGGTATAGCTCAGCGGCAGAGCACGTGCTGAGCACGCACAGGTCCTGGGTTCAACCCAGTGCCTCCACTCAAAGAAATAGGCCTAGTCTCCCCCACAATTAAAAAAGGTCACATATTCTCATTATGACAAGTGGACTTATTTTGTCAGCGAGACGTGAGTTTTGAATCTGGTAGGAAAGGCCACACCAGTGAGGAGTGCAGGGGAACACCCAGCCCTGGACATTGCCCATCTTTTGTAATTTTGCCGACCTGATGGCCCAGAGATGGTGCCCCAGTTTCCCTCGGGTTTCCCATCTGCTAGTGAGGCTGAAGGTGTCCATCAGCCGTCCGTGCGCCTCGCTCTGAGCTGCCTCTCCATGTCCTTTGATTATTTTTCCTTGGGGCTCTGTGTCTTTTTCTGAATTGTGAAAGTTACAGTTAGTCTTTTATCTCCCTGGTTGCAAATGCTGCATCTTCATTTCATGAAGCCAAATCTGACAGAACCTTCCTGAGAGGATCCTGTAGGGAAATACAGATATGGGTCCCACAGTCATAAACCACTCTCCCGTGCGCTTCCCTCGCGCTTTTATAGTTGTATATGTCGCATTCGTTTTGTTAACCAGCTTGTTTTCACATGTGGCCTGAGGGAGGGATTTAACTGCTGTTTTTGTAAATAGTTGCACTCCAGCTTTCGCCACCAGTACGCTTCAGAACTTCTCTTCCTCCGTTACGCTCTGAGGCCTCGTGCCTGCGCGTGTTTAGTCTTTGCACTTGTC